AGAGAGAGAGAGAGAGAGAATGTTTTACAGAGCGGGCTGTCCTAGCACGTGAGACATGTATTTACTTGGCCTAATGTCCTATCTTGGTGTGCGTTTGTGTGAATGCACCTTTAAGTCTAACTTTTGTAACGTCTACTGCCATTGTTAACGACCAAGACATATTTCTCTCTGTGAGATGAATAAAGATTGTCATTGTCATTGTCATTGTCAAATTATTATGTTTGTTAAACGTTTCTCTTAATCTTATTGGCCTGTAACACCAACCAAACATCGTTTTAACTACTGGTATTTGCTTGTATTTGGCTGTGTTACATGTTAGACTATTCATTTGAGTTTCTGTTTCCGTTTAACATGTTGGTGTCACCACCCAGTGTAACTATTTGTTTTGTATTTTGTCGTGCTGTGTGTTTCATTAGCCATTTGAGTTTAGGTTTCCGGCTGACTTGTTAATCTGAAATACAGACCAAACGTTCTAGCCAATAGAATCTTTTTACCAAGCGCAAGCATGGAATCAATTTTTCTCATGTTGAGGACATTTTCAACACGCCACGACGTACCCAAAATATAGACACTTGTGCGTCTCAAAGGTTCACACTAAGTCCAACTCACTGTTTGGAAACAGTCGCGTAAGGCTCGATTTTATCAAACAAAACCGAAGTGAATACGTATGACGTGTGCTCTACAAACCAAACTGTACACAGACAGACATAATTTTTTTTTTAGCAAATTAACCTACAGTTCTTACTCTTAGTAAGTCAGAAAACATTTACGTTTTCTCTAGCAAGATGCCCTCGCTTTGTTACTCACAGAGCGCGACTGTCTTAGGCCTATCGCCTATCAGGCGGCAGGGGCAAGCGAGTGAGTCCTTGAAAGCTAACACAACTCAGCCGCCACGCGCGGCTTTGCAGCCAGCTCAAAGGCAGCGCGCGTGCCAGGGATTTTCTGGTGGTCAGCGCACCTCCGTGACGTAAATAGATGTACTGGGACTGGAGTCAAGGTACACATTTCATGCACCGATTTTTATGTGTTTTAATTCTGCGGACTAACTTACAAGGTTTCATGGACGACGAGAAAGGTTGCTATCTTTTGTGTACCTTTATTTTACAATAATTCTTATTTCCAAGCTACTTTTGTATTTTCTGTTTCCATCGCACTTGTTGCTGGTTTATGGTTTTGGTGTTGATGTTGTTGCTGTTTTCCTCCTCCTCCTCCTCCTCCTCCTCCTC